AGAGTGACTACAATATAGGTGTGCCACAAAAAGTAAAGAGATAAAAAAAAAAAACTCCTTCTACTTGATATTTATGTTTTCAGACATATCACCAGGTTATAAAATAATATATTCCTATTTGTGTTTTAACAGTGTATGCATTATGTGTTAAAAGCTATAGTGTAGTGTTTATTTTACATATTGCTAACATGCTATGTTTATAAGCAACTGGGTGTGTTAGAATTTTCATTGGCTCACCACACCCCCATCCTGGTCATTTGTTTTGGGCAGATATAACTATTGTACACTTTGGGGGATTCAAAGAATCAACCAGGTTTAAATCTGTCCTCCCTTCTATAGACACGAAAGAGGTAAGCGAATCATCATCTAGCCAGACTAGTCTTTATTTATGAACTTGATGGGTATTTTCAGGTAGAGAACCTTTTTCTTTAAAGCTCAATTTTTATTTGAACCTGACATCTCATTTGAGTGGTGACTTGTACACATGATTTTGTATCTTCATGTTTCCAGGAGCAAAAGCCCCATGGTGTAACTAACCCTGAAACCGTGTCCTGGCTAGAGTTGTGTAATCCTGCAAGATACTCAGTTTTCCAGTCCCAGTTTACATTAATGCAAACCGAAAGCTTTGACTTAATCATTTCTAAGAACTTTGGGCCTCATATGATGTTTTATGCTTAATTTCTCCAGATTTAAGCCACTGAAATCTACATTCGCCTTGTGGCTTATGGTCCATCCATCCATCCATCTAACATTTATTTACTACAATTTGTTATATGACAGGTGCTTTTGCAGATTGTTGGGGTGGTTGGATGAATGACCAACAAGGGCTCTGATTTTATGTTTGTGTGATAGTGTGGTAGTCAGACAGTAAGGCAGTACACAAAGAAATAAACCAGATAATTTCAGGCAGTGATAAATATTTGATCAGATGACAGTGATTGCTAAAGATGTGTCATTATTCTTGAATAGTGAGAAAGATGCTTCATATAAAGATCAGAGAAAACTTTTTAGGCAGAGGAACAAGTCCAAAGCCCTAGGAAACAGCTTCATGTGTTAGAGGAGTAAACAGAAAGGCAGTGCGATTGCAGGGTAGTGACCGGCTGGTGTGAAATGGCGCTCAGGAAGTAGAATGGGTCCCTAGGTGATGAGTACACAGGGTAAGAATTTACTCAAGACCATGTGGGATGACCACGGGGGTTTTATAAGCAGGACAATGACCCCATCTTCTGTATGGTGGACCATCCTTGTTTATGTTTGGAGAATGAATTGTAAATGGAAAGAGTGAAAGCAGAAAGTTAGGAATCTCTAGTCCTGTAGAGGGGTTATGATGATTTGGGCCAGTTGCACCTGAGATGAAGTGGATGGATTCTGTTGGAAATAACACAGACACCAAAAGTGAGGCCTTTTTCTAACTGACAGATTTTAGCAGTGGTCACGCAAGAGTTGATTATTTGTAAGCCCTGTCTAGCTTCATGTGGTTGCTGCTAGTGGCACTTTGTGGATTGGGTTAGAAATCTTGCATGCATCCAAGAGGTTACATGAGCTCCTGTGATTGCAGAGTTCCCCAGGTCTAACTGCCTATGGTGCTGGGAAGCAGTTGTTTCATGCTGCAGGACAAAGAAATTGAAGGTGAGGGTGTTTTAGGATGCGTGACATATGGACTGTGTATATGATAATTTCTTGAAGATGACCATGTCAGAGACAGTGGAGAAAGATAGAAAGGAAGAAAGAGACTGGTGAGAGCTATGCTCAAAAAATCTGTAGCTACTTGTATGGCAGAGGAATGAAGCAAACAGAATTAATATCCCATAAACCAAAACGGACATTGGATATAAACATTTGTTCTATCATGCTAGTACTCCAGGTTGAATATTAGCCTTGGAGGTAAGAACATCCAAAGAAGGCAGAAAAGAGATTCTAGCTGCCTCTGCACTTCATAATACACTAATGTATTCAGATTATTCTTCAGTTGTCTACCCATTAAGTGCTAGTCACTGTTGCAAGGGATGCTCGTTTACTATTATATTTTGAAATGTTACTGAAGTTCTGTGAAGTGTTAATTTGGTATCTGAGCATATCTGCTCTATAGGTGCAGAAATGATTTTGAAGTAATTGATTAACCACCCAGACTTAAAGTATTCAGATTGTAGACTTAGAGTTGCCAAATGGTTTTCAAATGGAAAGCTTTAAATGCTGGGTATGTGAAAAAGTGAGTCGGCATTCTTATCACCATATTTAATAATAAAAGGCTGATCCAGGCAATTTATGCTAAAAATGATAAAATGAATTATTAAGAGTATCCAGTAAAAATGACAGGTTTGAATTCAAAGACATACTCCTTAGTATTGTCACTTAAGAAAAAAACTGAAAATTTCCTAGCCTTCCCAGATTCTTAGATAGGAAAAAAATAGCCACATTAGTTTTAATTTTCTCTAAGTCCTTGGGATATTTTAAGAGCAGACAAGAGAGGGTTATTGGGAATTTGGCTTCCCCTGTGGGGGCTTACCAGTTTTAGCTGTCTTGTTTGTGATCTCATCTGAATATGTTCTGATCCTTAATCCATAGAAAGCAAGTATTGGAAAGATGTTTTCAAGATGTTTTGTTTCATGTTTTCATTTCACAGATGAGGAGAGTGTCATTGAGTGTATCCTAGTCACCGAGCCTTTCTAGTGACAGGGCTGGAATTTGCTTTGGGTTTCCTGGAGAGCTGTGGCATTTATGTCCATCATTGCACCTCGTCTTGTGTTGGGTCATGGGTCACAGAGAGGGCACAAAAGGGGAAAAACACTGACAAAATAATCTTTAGAAATAGAAGGTGGTGCATCAGTGTTTTTGTGTATACACGGTGGCCCCAGACGCTTTGCCCCCGGAGGTGTCTGTGGTTTACTGCTGCTATTGTAACGTCTGGGAAATTCACTCTCAACATCTCTTTAGGAGCTGAGAACCAATCCACTGATTTTATCTTCCACAGCGGCAGAGGCAAGTGCATCAAAACAGCAGCTATGCAGTATCATTCATTTGTAGACAAGGAAGTCCCTGAGTAAAATGCCCTTTGTGTTACTCCACAGTGGACTGCACCTCTGTCCATGCTGTTCACTCCTTCCTTTCTGCCCCTTGCTGGGACTCAGCCCTCAGGTCGCAGGCCTGAGTGAGGATGGTGAACTGGCAGGAAGATGTGAAAGGAGACTGGGAGAGCAAGTGATTAGCTTCCAGCCCCTTTCTACCTGTGGGTGTGGCATTAGGATGGCACCTGGCCGTCAGCTCTTGCCAGTGAACTGGGCAGCTGGTTGGCACTACACCCAGACTGAATTGACGCTGGGCCACCCTGATGGGTGTAACCAGGGGCTGTGCCACGTTGCCCTAGATGACCCAGACACCATGAGGACTGTGGACCTTGGACCTTGGACTCTCGATCTGACAGTGGTTTTCTCATTTGGAGGGTGAAGCAAGCCAAGAGCTGTCAGTGGTGGGCACTGCTCAGTGCCAGTGTGTGTGGTTAATGCTAGCAGAGGTGTGAGAAATGGGTCCTTCTGCATGGTGCTAGTCTTAGTGCATATATATATATATATATATATATATATAATCATTTAATTATTTCCCCTTTTTCTTAAATCACTTTAAGAAGTCAACATGGTAAGGCATACAGTTATAATAATGTTTAACTATTTTGACCAAATGCCAAAATATTTACACAGAAGCAAAATTTTGGAAATAACCCCAACATTCAATGTTAGCAGATTTGCTTTAAGAAATCATGACACATTAGTATAGCTAAATATCTTGTAGAAAATAAGCACATATCTGGAAGACAGAGCAAAGCGCACAAAAACTACTATTCCACTGGAAGAGTGGGCATTGTTTTCTTAAGAATTCTTCATATTTGTTTTATCTTCTTTAGAAAAAAGACAGCAATTTTAAAACTTAAAAAAATCATGCTAATAATCTTCCTCAATTTCAGCATGAAGTTTTGTCATATTTAAAAAAATAACCACCAAAAAAAGAGAGCAATTTGAAGTTATAATCTAGAAGTAGAAACTCTGCGACCAGGCTAAAGCCACTTCAGGTTCTTCCTCTTGAGCCCCCAGCGTGGCTCATGAAAACTACCTAGATTCTCATTGGACTTGAAGTTTATTTAAAACATGAAAAAGTCAGTAGAAAGCCGAGGCCTTACCTTTACTAAACTTGATCCACTTCTCAAGGAATGAGGTTTAGAGAAGACCCATCATTAGTATTTGAGCATAATTCATTTATTCTCTTCTCCAGCAGAGAACTATAATGTAAATATCTACTTATATGTATTCAATTTTAGTTGAACATATATAGATATTCAATATAAATATATATATTCAATTTTAATGAGTTATATATGTATAATATATTCAGTAGTAATTCTTAGCTATGTTCATGGTTGCAGTATTACTATGTTCAATAGTAATATATATATATATTCAATTTTAGTTTCAGCTATTTCATTCTTCTAAAAGTTTCTTTTTATCCCCTCAAAATCTTGTCTTGTTCCACCGAGGGCTACTGATGCTTCAATTTCATTTTTAGAAGTAGGTGCTTTGAGGGGGTTATATTCTGTCTGTTAATCAAGACAACAGCCAGTCCCAACCCACTGCACATATCTGAATAGCACTCCATTCTGGCACAAATTATAATGTATCACTCCACATGTTTTGTTTGCTGTTTATCTCACTGTGAAAGCCACAAAAGGGCAGGGACTATATCTGTTTGATTCCTACTACTTAAATATGTTATTTAATACTTAATACCTTATATACTATATATTCATATAAGACAAGTACATTTGTGGTTGGATTTTTTTCTAGGACACAATTTTATCTTTTGTCATTTTAAAAATTATTTACTTAGATGTAAAATTCTTTCGTTTTGGTGCAGTAGAGGTGACTTTGTGAAGTGATCCCTTTTCATTTTAAATGTAATTATGAGGACAGCATTTTCATGAAATGTTACTTTTGCTTTTTCTTTCTACTCAGGAGAAATCAGTGATACTTGCAAGTATGGGATGTTTACGTTTCATCGTGGAGGTGTACAGGTTTTATGCAAATACCCGGACATGGTTCAGCAGTTTAAAATGCAGTTACTCAAGGGGAAGCACATACTCTGCGATCTCAGTAAGACAAAGGAGAGCGGAGACAAGGAGTTCATTCGGAAGCAGGTGTCCTGCCAGCTTCAGTTATCCAACAACAGTGTCTCTTTCTTCCTGAACGACTTGGACAGTTCTTACGGCAGCTATTACTTCTGCAACATATCAATTTTTGATCCTCCTCCTTTTCGACAGATTCTTACAGGAGAATATTTGCATATTTATGGTAAGACGTGGCTTTTTCTTTGGGGCTTAAGAGACATACGCATTTTGACAACTCTCTCACTAAGGAAAACAAACAAGGATCTTTTGTTTTGGAGTTTGTTTAGGTATAGTTCATGGCAAATTAGTTTTGATGAAATATACAAGGGATGACTTGTCATTAATAATAATTAGTATTTATTGATAATAGATGATCTAGTCGCATGGGCTGTTGAGTTAGAATTAGGTTATGTTTGTTTTCAAAACACATATGCCATTAAAAGTGGGACAAAATGAAGACAAATACCTAAATTCATGACTTAATAACTATTACTGCTATTCAGTTAAGGAGAAAGTAGAATAAAGTGAGATAATTGAAAATGAGTTTTGTAATGTTATTTTTCCTACTTAATTTGTGTGTGTGTGTGAAAGTACAGAAAGAAAATACTTTGCTATTAATTGCATTTGTAAACATAATATTTGCATAGTTGTTTATGGAACCTTGCTAAAATACCGAAGGGATGTTAATACTTACTGAATTTCATGATTGCAATGAGGAAAAAGTTGATTTAACTAAACATCTCTTAAATCTTATAAAAAATATCTGGTGGTTCAGCACTGGCAGAGATTTGATCCTCAAAGATTTTCATTCATGTCCTTTCTTCCCAATGCAGAATCACAGCTTTGCTACCACATGAAATTCTGGTTACCGATAGGCTGTATAGCTTTTGTTGTGCTGTACAGTTGTGGATTCATATTAATTTTTTGGATGAAAAAAAAGGTGAGCAGTTTCTACTTTTTCTTGCATCTGCTTTCCTGAGTGGAAATTACTTTCCAGAGTAATTTGATCAACAGGCAGATAATTTCGTTTTCCTCCAAGATACACCTCTAAGATTACACTAATAACTTGGACCATAGCTTATTTGTTTATTTTATGGCCCAGTTCATTCCAAAAAGGACTCAATGGCTCAGAAATAGGTTATTATTACTTATTTTCAAAAAGGATACTTTTTGAAAGGAAACTGAGGCCAAGGGAAGGCAAGAAGTTAGGAAGGAGGTTAAAACAAAAACAGATGGATGCTTCTGACTTTTAAAACATTATTAAATGTGGGCTGTGCTGTAGATTCGAATATAAGATTTGAATTCTGAAGAGTCAGGGCAACAATTGTTGTATGTTTCACTTAGCTGGTAAGTTCAGACAATAGGGAGAAAGTCTTATAAGCTACCAGTAGCACCTGAGAAGGTGGATAACTTGGCTAAGTTATTCAACTTCTTGCTTTTAAAGAAACTGCTGAAAAGCTATTCAGAAAGCTAGAACTGCAACAATAAGAATGAAAATCTCTCCATGAGGTGGGGCCATCTTTTTAATGTTTCACTTTCTAAGAATTTAACAGTGTTCTGTAGCCATGTGAATGTGCTAGTACCCACGTGTGGTATGGTGGTGGCAGATGTAGTGTGCATCTCTGCCAAACTAGAATTTGAAAAGGAGGTGAAGAAGGCAGAGGGTGATACAGGACCCACAGTCTAAGTCTTTTGAGGAAGGGAAATAAAGGTAAAGTAAAGCAGGAAGTTCAGTAAAAAGCTCTTTTCATTTCCACGGTGTTCTACTTGGTCTACAGCCGAGAATCTAAGTCTATGGTTACTCTGTCATCACCATTTCAGCAAAGAATAGAAAGCAGTCACAGGACAGGTGGTGGCGGGGAGGGGAAGAGCAGATGACAAACCATGTTGGTGACTTTGTCTTCCAGAAGCGTGGATCCAGTGTGCATGACCCGAATAGTGAATACATGTTCATGGCTGCGGTAAACACAGCTAAAAAACCAAGGCTTGCAGGTACAGCTTCATCTGGGGGCTTGGGTAGGGAGGAGACCTCCTTCATGGTAAACCTGGAATTTTAATTTTTTAGTTTCAGAGGAAGAAAAATTCCTGGAAGGCTTCCTTTTAGTATTCTCTGTGAAAATTGGGCTTTTCACTTCAGCTGAATTTATGCCCTTTGTAATACACTGAAAGTAAACAATGTGTTTGTAAATCACTATTGAAACTAAATGGATGGAAAGTTCCTAAGCCATCATTTCATCAGCACAGGTTTCCAACTGCTGTTTCAAAAACTGGGATGAGTCTAAATCCCCCTTGTTGGCAGATTTGCTAAGAGTGGGCATTTACTGAGGCTTGGTTCAGTGCAATTATTGCCTGTGGCACCGTGGGGGCCACACAGGTAGATGGGAAGTTTAGGCTGAGATTTGGAAAAGCGACCAGGGCTGATGCTACTGGGGAGAGGAGAAAACGATGGAGATATGTAGTTATTTCATGCCAAGTGTGTGAGCTCAGGAGACTCGGCGACTTCAGCATTGCCAGGTGGAACTTCTGACCTACTGTACTTTTATTTTTTTGAGAATTAGAATTTCATGCTGTGCAGAGGGGCAGCCACTGGAAAATTTGTAGACCTCATTCCTTTGAAGGTAGAATGATGTTAGGCACATAAAGAAGCAGAAACTATTGCATATTTTAAACCACTCGGTTTTTCTGGACAGTATCAAAGGGATACAAGTAGTGATGTCATGGAATTATAGCACAGAAAAGGAGCAAAAGTGGCACTTTCCACCCATCTCCTCCTATTCTTAGATGACAGATACTGATGTCCAATGTGGCTTGGCTCTCCAGACAGCTCATACCATAGCTTTGTCTCTTCAAAGAGCTTTGCTTCCTTACTTTGCTATTGAAGAAATGTATTTTATCTCAATCACCGTGTTCGTAATAACAAGCTCTCTCACTTTGGAACCCCTAAAGCAGAATGTGAGATACGAACTTGGGTAGAAGGAGCTCATGTCGTATATAATTCCAGGAAGTAGTGAGGGGAGGAGGTAGGCAAGGAGACAAGCCAGGTGGGTGGCTGAGGATGTGCTACCAAGGCCTCAGCTGTGGGGCACAGAAGCGTGGCTTCACAGGGCTTCTGCAAAGCATGGAGCAGGAACCCCTGCTCTGGCTTCTCCTGACGGACTTTCCATCACTGCTGGTTTGAGGCTGCCTGCAGGAGGCACTGACTCTTTTTAATCTCTGTGCTGTGAGGGGTTGGGTTCAGAGTGAGGAGCTGGGACAATGTTTGTTCTAGGTGCTAAGAATGGGCTGAGTAAAAACTTCATGGAAGATGAAGCATTGGTGCTAGGTTTTGAAGAACAGAGAGGTAGCTGGTGAGTGTGTGTGTATGTGTGTATGTGTAGTGAGTGTGTGTGTGTGTGTGTGTGTGTGTGTGTGTGTGTGTGTGTGCATATAAGGAAAGAGGAAAGCTTGTTGATGGGAATTGGTACATGGAGAGCTTTTCAAGACTTCATGAAAAATCCTGTTACAGATGTGACCTCATAATCTGGATCTCTGGCATCCAAGTGTGCACCACGCTGGCCAGTTCTCCAACACGTGACGTGCGAAACTCTCTTGCTTCCTGGACCACAGACACCCTGACTTGATTTGACTACGTGTATCTCCTGCCTGCATTTTGTTCCATCTGGGTCAATAACTGTTTCTATCAATAAGGATGTTTAACGGACTGCCTCGGCATTGCTGACTTCTTTTAAAGTGAACATCCTCTTGCAACTAACCTTATAGAAAAACGGTCTTGCTCGTGTGTGCTCAATGAACAGACTTCACAGGGATGGAATTCCTGCTACTCTGCACCTGCTCCTTGCAATGCACCAGCTGGTAAAGCAAATACATCCACACAAAAAAAGTTGAAAAGATGCTAAGGGGTATTCATCTGCAAAGCACACAGGCAGCCCTGGGCCGGTATTCATCCTCGTTTTATGAACAGACTACCTCCTCTTTCTGTAGGAATGGGATTGCCTTTTAATTCAGACAGTAGAAGGAGATGCCCCACAGCTACAGCTATCTTGTTTTGGAGATGTTGGTGCGCATTATGCCGAGCAGGTACTGTAGTAGCTACACAATATTCTCCTCTGATTTCTGAACATCAGTTGGTCACTCCCCCAAGGGTTTAAATGCCTTGTCTTGCCTTTAATTTTTTTTTTAAATACTTCTACCTGCCTACTTGACAGCCAGTGGCCACTCTGAATAAGGAGCCGTGTCTACATTTTTTCTTCTTTGCTGCTCATTGAAGTTGTGTTATACATAGCCCCTATAATTTGTCTGTAATTTGTTTATATTCTCTCTATAAGAAAATTTTTGCTCCAGAAGGACATCTTCTTTCCCCAAATTTATTTAAAATTGTTCACATCATTGATATTAGTGATAGGAAACACTGCTCAGAAAGAAGAACAAGTTCATCTTATTATCCTGTTTTCTATCATTATCTGTGTTTTCATGGTGCTATTCATCCCAAGTGTGGCTCTTTTTGTAGATAACATTAAAATTGCAAATGAACAAGCCCCTGTTTAACTGGTAAGCATTCTCCTGGGGTAGAGTGGATCCTCTATTTGGTCCAGAAGCCACAGTTACTGAAGGCTCCTGCCAGGCTGCAGTCACGCTGCCTCTGGGCATGACAGGTCCACACTGTCCGGATCCCAGAGAAGCAGATCCTTCACACCAGAGTGGAAACCTAGGCTGAGCAGCTCCCTGGAGCCTGGGACAGGCAACTGCTTTGTCCTCGGAGGAGGTCGAAGTCACCTGGGAATCAATGTAGCTCTTGTCATTCTAGGAGCTGTAAAGAAACACGCATCGCATGACCCAGAGCACACTTCCCTTTCCCAGGAGCCATTCAGCCTAGAAACTGGCTCTGGTCTTTTATGACAGTTTTCTATAGGGCATAGATTCTCCAGGAAGTCTTAAATACGTGCAACATGTTATTATCCTTAGCTGGAATATTTTCCCTTTGTCCACATGCCCAAAGCTTCTGAAACAGCCAGTGTGTATCCAGTCAAAATTGTAACTCTATGCAAAATGGTGTTACTTTAGTAGTTCTGAAGTTACTTTGAGAGTGAGACGGGATGTGTCACTGTGTGTACTTATGTTAAGCATGTGTAATGCTGGACCTGTACAGTATAGTACTGAACTTATCCAAATCAAGTATGATGTTCTCTGTTTTCAGCAGACTTGGGCCATCTGGGTGGCTTACAGAGGGGTCCCCTGAGTTGGTTGTACCTTTCTACGTGGTGGTGAGGATACCAAAGCGTGGTTGCCCCGAACTGTATCTTGAGGTATCCTCATCATCTTCAACAGTGAACATTTCAAAAGCAATTATTAAAGAACAAAATTTCTGTGAAATGAAGACTGGTTTTCAGAAGAGCCATTTATCAGATGGATTTTAGCAGTACTAATAATTAAAAAAAATAAACATTTGATATATGCAACAACTGAAAATACCTCAGTGTTTTCTTGGGACCGGGGAATGATTGTTTTAGCTTAGCACTTGCAAATCTGAATACTTTTGAATGATCTTGTCCATTACATGGGGTAGTTGCTTTTTTCATCTTATATTCTGCTTTTTATTTACTGAAACAACAACAGACTTAGCTAGAGCACAGCAAGACTGTTTGTTACCTGCATGATACTTTTTCATACCACCTCTGAAAAAGTATATTTTTCCTACAAGAGAATACTTTGGTCAATAAATCAATATTGACACATTGAAATTAACATTAATATGTTCCTACTACCTAACCACTAGACTACATTTGAGATTTGGTTATTGTCTTTATAATGTGAATACTAATACTGAGATGTTACTACCATCCTGTCTTCAGATTGACTCCGAGTCTTGCTTTTTGTCTCTATAATATGTTTTGGACCTCCCTCTTGCTTAACTGGCCTGTCTCTGGTCCTTCAGTCTCTGGTCCTAGTGTTCTCACTCTATAATTGGAGAGTTCCTCACTCTAGAATTTATGGACTTGGCTATCTTGAAGATTGGAAGCACTTATTTTGCAGAATGTCGCTTGTTTGATGTCCCTTCATGATTAAAATTGAGTTATTCATCTTCAGAAGAAATTGCAGAGAAATACATTTTTTTATAATTGTTCTATTCCTGTTAATTTTCATTTTAGTCACCATTGTCTCCAAGCCAGTTTCTCACTGTGGGCAGTTGGAACTCAATGCCATGGATGCCCTCTGGTAGCCAGTGAAAAGCACTGTACAGCTACTATTTCCCCCTTCACAGTTAATAAATGTTTATGGGAAAATACTTTGAATCACTGCAAATTTTCTGTTCCTCATCAAAATTTCAGTTTTATCTGCATGACATCATGTCTTCCTGATTCATTCAGTGGGTAAAAAGTGTTACCATTTTTAATTCTGTCTGGATGCTGAAATGGCCCCATCCTCACCCTGCAGGGGTCTTGTGACCTTCTGCCATGTCCCTACCTTTCCCTCAGACTTCCTTGCAGGATGAGATGGTCTGACCTCAGCCACAGCTTTCCCCGTCCCAGTGCTGGAATCAGAGGCTACTCCAGGAGCCCTGGTTCCCTGGGGTGATAAATGACTTGTGAAGCCAAGATGCAGGCATTAGTTAGCTACAGAGATTTCCCTGTTCTTACGACAGGTCAGTGGCCAAGCTGGGGATGTGTATCTGCCTACACAAATAGATAAATAAAAAAGGTTTAAACATAAATATACACAGAAATGTGTGTGTGTGTCTACAGATACATATGCACACAAATACATATCCATACCTATCTAGGAATCCACAAGGTCATACCCATGCCATTAATTTCAAGTCAGTGCTACAGGGTTTATTCTAGATTTATCTCTTTATCTGTCCTTCGGGCAGCAAGAAGCTTGACTTTCATATCTTCAATGTATTTATTTATATAATCAGTCCCTGGGATGGAACCTGTCTCCCATCTTCTTCCTCCTGCTCCTGTGGTGCCCACTGCACATAGATCTCTCTTCTCTTTCCCAAGGCTCTGATTCGTCATTTCAAGATGCCCAGTCCTTTCTCTCTGCCCAGGCTGGCTCTGGTTGACCCTAGATAACCCCACTCCATGGATGCTCCTTTCGTCTTATTTGGGTCTTATGCTCCAGGCTAGATTCATTGCTCCCTAAAATGCCTTCCTTGTCCTCCTGCTTGGGGCCACCATGGTCCCCTGGCCCTGGGTGTATAACCCCATGCTTTTCACTGGCACAAAGGCCATCCACAACATTGTGTTCCAGTTGCCCACAGTGAGAAATGGCTTGAGTTTTTGTTTCAGTACCGGGGATTCAACCCAGGAACGCACTACCACTGAGCTACTACCACCTAGCTACATCTCAACCCTTTTTAGACATTTTAATTCCGAGTCAGAGTCTCACTTAGTTGCCCAGGCTGGGCTTACACCCTCAATCTTCCTGCCTCAGCCTTGCAAGGGCTGCGATTATAGAAGTGTGTGCTATCTCCATTTTGGCTTGACTGTCTATACCACTTCTCCCTGTCTTCTCGACTCTGCTGATGCTTTCTTCACCTGGAGTCTTGGCCTCACATTGTCTAGAGGGACTGTCGTGGAAACGTTCCCTTTGCCCTGTGGGGCCTTGGGAAATAACTGTACCCGGGCCCTGGTGCTTCCTTCTTTATTCTTTGACTTCTCTCACACTTTTGGGAGTGCTCATTTCATGGGTCCTCTTCCCTTCACCTCTTAAACTCCAGGTATTCCTCGACCGAGTCACACAGGACCCGCTCTTCCACCCCACACTCCTCCATTCACTGCCAGGGGCCAGAAGTCTCCAGGTCTGATCGCTTTCTCGGAGTACCTTGAGTTCTGATGAATAAAATTATCTACCCTCTTAGATGTTTTTCTTTGTCAAACTCACATCCTTTTCAAAAGGGATCCCTTTTCCTTGTGTGATCCCAGTCCTCTTCCCACTTCAACCCACTCCACTTTCTCCTTTTTCACTGGGTAGAGCTTTCCCTGGGTGTCCTGGAAGACAGGCTGTGCTCAAATTAGTTGTTAATCCGCTTTCTTTGTGTGAAGAGAGAAGCTGGGGGATTTGAGATTTTCCAGAAGGATGAGTGTATCAGCATCAACATCATACTCCTTCTCCAGAGTCTGTGTTCTCAGTAAGATGAGGAAGATAGGGAGTGCACTGCCTTGTCACTAAAAGGCACGCTGTGCCCGGAGGTCTTGCACTCCAGGCCATGTTTTATTTCCCACTATCTAGGTGATTAGTGCTTACGAATTCAATGTCTGAAGCTTAACTGTTAACCAACTTGCCATATGTTCCATCCAAGGAAATGAGACAGTCTGTGATAAGATCTATAAATAACCTCTCATGCCAGTCCTTGTGGACTTTTCCTTTCTGCAGGCTTTCAAAGTCTGTCCATGCTTCTGTCATTTCAGGGATGTGGTCTTCCCAGGACCCAGCGCCAGGCTGTCTCCTCCAGGAGCCTTAGTGCTTCCAAGGAATGGTTTATTCTTTGTCAAGAAGCTAGAGGCTAGTTAGCCATCTTCACAGGGAAATCTGATTTCTGAGGGTAGAGTTGGGAAAGCCTTCAACTAAACTGTAAATACCTGTCCTTTTTCTTCCCCTAGGAAAAGGCGAACTTTTTATTTTGAGTCATTTGTAGGAAAATGGTTGTACTTTGAGACCATAATGTTAAGTGAAATAAATCAGACACTAATCTTAAACATCACAAGGTTCTCTTTTATGAGAAACCCAAAATATAAATAAATTTAAAGAGAAAAATAAAAAGTGGCTAATAGAAAACAGAGAGATAGACCTTTGCAAATGTAAGGGGAACCAAGAGATGGAGGAAGGGGGTAGGGGAGGGCTGGGGAAAGGAAAACGAATTATGGTACAATGTGTGCATGCATGTACATGTACACTTCCCATGGTGAATGTAATCATTATGTTCAGGGGACATGGATTAATAAAAAAAAAGAAAGAAAGACCTATCTGCTGCAGCAAGACTAAGAACCAATTTCTAGTTCACTTGGTAATGTTTCCTCTTCAGGTTTAATAAATGCATGACATCAAAGCATGGTTCTTAGAAAAGAATACTGAACCTTAAATGCAACTTCTTAATGTGAGTTCCATGTTGTTCTTTCGGCTTTAGGTTGACAGTCCAAAGCAATGCACCTTATATCTAACGAGTCTTTCCCATCATTGCACCAGTAAAGTAGTCATGTGAAAATACTTCCTTGTGATTAAATACCAACATGTAGTTCCAAACGTCACATCATTTCCTGTAAAAACAAAGCTCAGGTATAAAATCCATGTGCCTCTAACTTCACTTAGAGTTACATCAAAGAAATGATAGTCATCAGAAATCAATTTCAATCAAAAAGCATCTCTTGTCCCAATCTTTTTTTAAAACTTTATTTAAAGACTAAACAAAATAGATACTTTCAAAGAAAAAATAAACAGTAAGAGATCACTAGTTGATGATTTCATATTGTGCTCATACAAATAGTTGTTCAAGACACAAAAGTAAAACATACAGAGGGGATTCAAACAGCGAGACTGCAAACGGTTCTGTTCAACTATCCATCAAAACTTAGTAATATGGTTATCAATCCTATACACTTAAACATACATGCAGTTATCCATTTCTTCACTTGTGTTGAGATTAAACAAACCAAAGCAGGCTAAAATCACTCTGAATAAAGAATAATAGTATTGATGGATTTCATACCATGACACTACAGGATTAGCACCGGATACTCTTTTTCTTCAAAGTATTTGTTCATTTCATCATGCGTCATAAGATCAGGTCTTGTAAACTGTTTATAGGTTCTACACATGCATGAGTCTTTTTTTTTTAGATTTTATTTAAGGAGAAAAAGAAAAAAAAAAGCAGAGAAAGGGTACAAGTTATACAGATTTACAGAAAGAAATGAACAGTAGGAAATCACTAATTAATGGATTACATATTGCCATCTTAGAAATAATTGTTCAAGTTACAAAATTAAAGCTTATAAAGTGGACATTCCAACAGTGAGACTGCAAACAATTCCATTCAACGATCCAACAAAACTCAGTGATATCTTTATCTATCTTATACACTTAAATATATATGCAGTTATATCGTTTTGAGCACTTTCTTTTCCTCTCTTTTGTACAATGACAATTACACATTTTGGGTTTTGTTGCTCCCACAGTTCTTATTACTTTTTTGGAAGAGAGTAGAACCAAATGTGACATAATAGAACAGAGTCAGTCAAATAAAAATGGTGGACATAATAGATAATGTAAAATCATAATACAAGGTGATCAACAATGGTTACCATAATGCCTCCCGCTATCTCTAATAGAATTGCCTATATAATCAGTTATAATAAAACTGAACAAAACAGTAAAGAACAAAAAAGACAAAACCAAAACATTGGAGACATTATAGATCTTCAAAAGTAGATAATAGTCAACCAGAATGGGGGTCATAATGGATCCCACTATCTTCACAGCTGTTGCCTAAACTTTTGAACCTGGTACTATCAAGCAAAACAGAATAGAGGGACATCAGTCAAAACAAGATGGTCAGAGCAATACAGGGCTTTAAATCAAGATAATGGAAACTCAAAGTGGGTTACTATAATATATCCTGCTATTTTTTATTTATTTTTTCCTTAATTAAAAGGATAAAAATAAAAAAGTAAATAATAAAGTGGAGATTGAGATAAAAGAGGGCATAACAGCAAAACAGC